TCCGAATCCTTCTTGTCAACCAACATTTTCAGGTTTTTCACGTACGAAAACGTAAGAGATAGATGGTTTAGAGGATCAATTGTCTCAGTGGTTAGTGAGTTTCTACCGACGTGTAAGGGCCCGGTTTGAATCCCTCCGCTGTAATGTTTCGTAAATCCTACCCTTGTATACAATGTTTTCATTTGCTTGAAAATTCAGGCTTTGTTTTTTAGGAACCCTGAAAATTCAGGGTTTTTTTTTTTAGGAACACTGAAAATCAGGGTTTTGTTCACATGGACCCTGATGCATCAACGTCCCTTAAAGTGAATCTGAGGGCCTGGGTGTAAGGCTGCACCCATGGGTGTTATATAATGGCTTATTTGTTTGATGGGAAAACACAAATTTTCTGTACCCAACTCAATTTCATCTATCGAATCGAACTGAAACAGAATTTTCACTGCGCGTGGTGGGCGAGAGACGTCATCCAGGCTCTAGAAGGCGCCAAAATCTACCGAAGCCACCCTTCCAGTCCCCGCGATAGCCTTTCAAGAGTCGCGCGTCCCCCAGAAGGAAAAAAATCGTTAGAAATCTCCACTCGCTATGAAGTTAAATCAGAGGGCAGGTGTCAAGGCCTCAGATTCCAGGAATTTTACCCTGATTTCCTGATGTTTGACCCCGGTTGTTTATTGTAACCCTAATGAATCAGCCTTTTTGTTTTTACAACCCTGATGAATCAGTGTTTTTCTTTTCCTAAGCCTGATTTTCCAGTGTTTCTAGTTTGTCGACACTGACGAGTCAGTGTTGTATCGGAGACGACCCTGAAACCGAAAACTCCGTGATTCTCGCAGTTTTGCGCGCCGTCATCATGCATGAACCCACCCTGCACCGACGCCACCCTGCGGCGCGCCCAGATACAGTTGAACAGGTTAATTTCGGGCTGTGTTGGCAAAACACGTAAAGAGATTGGCTGTCCCAGCTGAAGCAATGTACCGTTGTCACGTTGGATAACCTACACTTGTCATTACTTTCCATTGATGTGCACAAACAACCAAGCCTAGTGGCCCAGTGGGCCAGTGGTGTGCCTTGTTCTTTCCACCAAGGCAGGGCATGCTGGGGCGGCCCGCTCAGGCACCCCACGCAGGGGGTCTCGTGATTCTGCCATTCCAGCTCTCCAGACTCCATCCCTTTCCAAAACATCAATCTCTGCAGTCTCCCTGAAGCCTGCTCGGCAGGCTCTTTCTCTCCCAGGGCATCTCGTTACTACTCACCGATTCAGGAAGGTGACGTGAACGCGCCATGGCGTTCACCGGTGAGAACAGCTGCGGTGATGATGACGACGATGCACTTTACGCCGTCACCGAGATGCTGGAGGCCAGAACGGGACTAGATTTTCTAGTTTCCGCGCTCTCCCATGAAAAAGAGAAGCCAGGTCCCGTCGCCTCAGTAGCAAACACTGGTGAAGCGTCTGGCCTCTGCCGCGGAGACGATTGTCCCCAGCCCGCGCATACTGCTAAGCCGGGCGTGTCGTCAGCAGCCGGACCAAGCGTCCGCTTGCCATCTCGTGCGTCGTCGTCGAAGCCTCCGCCTCGTTACAAGCAGGCCGTGCTCCGTTGGGCCGATCGTACAGATCCTGGACATCCTCTCGCTGATGCCGGCGAGTCGGTAAACCACGTTACGCCCACGCCATCTAACATTAAAAAACCGTCACTAACCACTCTGATTTACGAAGAGGCCCTTGAAACGTTCAAGTCGACGTGGTCGACCGACTACCCATGGCTCATCCTCATAAAAAACACTGCTTTCATGCCCGCGTTCAAGTGCAGATTGTGCATCGACTTTGCAGGTGAGAGTGGCAAGTGTGGCAAGAGTGGGTACGGTGCAACTGATCTTCATATCCAAGCCTTCAAGCGGCATGCCGCGACGAACAAGCACCAGTTGGCCATCAAACACCAGAAGCAGATGCTAGCTCAGGCTGGGAAGCAGCCGCGAATTGACGAGCATACGCTTGCCAAAGATGACGAGACGACCCGCGTCATCAGCCTTCTGAACTCCCTTCACTTCACCACCCAGAACCATCTGCCGATGGAGACGTGGGTGCGCCTCGTTTGCTACATGGCTCAGAACGAGGTCCGCGGCTTTCCCAAAAAGGGATACGACACTTACTACACCACGTAAGTGCTTACGAGCGCATGCATTAAAAGCCTCTCCTGTTCACAACCACGTAAGCCTAACAAATATGTTCGGTGTCTATGCAGGTACGGCTTTGGGGAATTAACACAGGCAACGGCCGTGTGGCTGCAGACAACACAACTCGAACACGTCCTACAAAGCCACTACATCGGCCTCAGCTGTGACGAGTCTACGGACAGATGCTGTGGGAAGCATCTCATCATCTATGCTACATTCATCCGCGACGGGGCAGTAGTCACCGATTTCTTTGCCCTCCTAACCATGGACAGGGCAGACGCCACATCGCTGGTGGCGTTGCTCTTATCCCATGTCAATGCCGTCGGCATTGAACTGCGCCGAATCACGGGCATCAGCACCGACGGGGCGAGCGTCATGGTCGGATCCAAAAACGGGCTGGTGGCGAGGCTGAGGACGCGCGTTCCGCATCTGGTGTCCTTCCACTGCATCGCTCACAGGAAAGGTGGTTGATGCAGTGTCCGATGCGACTGGTATTTGTTATTTGAACATGGTGTCCTTCCTTCTACTTAACCAAATGCGACTGTTTTTTGTTTTAATCGCAAGGAAGCACTCGCGGCCAAGGACGCGGCAGAGTCCCTACCGGAGTTTGGCATGGTCGACAGCTTCATCCGCTGGCTCGCCACCTACCTCGGCTCATCAGGACCCTGGCACCAGCGCTTCTTGGACCTTCAGGAAGTCTTCACTCACACTAACATGGAGCTCCAAGGAATCAATGATGTGCGTTGGCTCTCACGCGGCGATGCAGTCTGCCGACTTCTTGCAGTACTTCCGGGGGTCGTCGTGATGGTGCATGAGCTGGGAAACAAGCCCATGTACCAGATGGTGACCAGCTACAGATTCCATTTCATGCTGCGCTTCCTCGCTGGCGTGCTGGAACAGCTGAACGTGCTCAGCAAGACGTTCCAGCATCGACAGGTGAGATCCTGCTTTTGCCTGTGCATCCCTGTGTGCCGTGAGGACTGTGGGTTTAGGGCTGCTAGCTACGGCTAGTTCTGCTTCATGATTGAAACCTGGCTGTGCTTTCCCTACTGTTTTTGTGTGGCAGATTGACCTGCTGGCGATTCAAGGCCAGATCCGTCGCACGACAACCCACATCAACAGCCGTTATGTGGATTGTGGCGACGACTTCGGCGGTGGCCTGAGCGAGAAGCTGTCGCCCTTCATTGCACGACATGGACCGAATGGGGTGCGGAGAGTGGAGGTCGAGTGGGTTGACTCCGACGGCCGGCCCACTTCTCACTGCTACGTGCTGCATGATTCCCCCCTTGAAGGCTACCCCATTCCAGGGACCCATGAGCGATGCGTGGAGCAGTGCACGGCGATGGCGGAGGCGCTCGTGCATAACCTGGATGAGCGATTGGGTTCACTCGACAAGCTGAGCGGTGTGAAGTTGTTCATGCCCGACGAGTGGTCCCATGGACGGCAAGAGCATTCCATGGTCTACACGAAGCACCTTGAGTCCCTCACGATGCTCTTCAGGGCCCAAGAGTGCGACGAGATCATTCCAGGTACGTACTTCTCTTTGGTCTATGCATCGTTGTTTGTGCTGCTTTGTTGTGTAGCACCTAAACACCGGCACCACTTGTCTGGTGAGCCTTGCTTACCTTGTTCTTTTCCTAGTGCTTGCGCACTCCCTGACTCCCTCCAGGTGTCAACAAGAAGAAGGCGTTCAAGGAGCTCCGCACGTTCTGCACGGTTCTCGCTGGAGCCCCGAAGTCCAAGAGAAAGTTCTACACGGGTCTCTCGGCGATGCTGAAGTCTCCTGACTGGGAGGATGCGTACCCCAACCTGGTGAAGCTGTGGATGGCTATCGCTGTGCTACCGTTGAGCACAGTCGAGTGCGAGCGGGGGTTCTCGCGTCAAAACATCATCAAGAGCTGGCTGAGTGGTGCCATCAAGGATGCGCGGCTGTCGGACCTCATGTGCATGGCATTGCTGCCGTACGAGCCCGACTGGGCAGAGGTGGTGAAGATCTGGAGGGCGTACAAGAAGCGCAAGCCCATCACAACAGTGGCAGCACCAAAGAAGCAACCTAGTGCTAAGGGGAAAGAGAAGGTGGACGAGGATGATGCTGGTGGTGCTGGCTCTGGGTGGGGGACAGAGACCCCCGTGCACAGGCACGGTTCTATGAGCGATGGTGGTGGTAGTGACGAAGATGAAGACATGTGTGTGATGTAAATTGTGTGTGCGGTGTGAGCGCCAAGTGGTCTGTGCCTGTAGTTAGATTAGAAGCTCATTAGAACCATATTTTAACTTTTCTTAACTTATTCTACTTGTGATAGTTGTTGTGGATTCTCACCACCAGTGTTTTTTTTAAACTCACGCTGATGTGTCAGGGTTTTTTTTTTTCTAACCCTGAGAAATCAGTGTTTCTCCATTTACAACCCTGATGATCAGTGTTACAGCCCCAAAGGACCCTGAGTGCTCAGGGTCACCCAAAACGAATCTGAGGCCCTGGCGGGTGTACTCAAAATTTCAGAAAAAATGGGGGGTGTTATAACTGGTGTATTTATGAGTACACCCACCGTAATTGAACACCCATGGGTGTTCTATTTTGGGTTGTGTACTATGCGGGGGATTACGGTATCTTAAAAATCTTGAGGGGTTTGCTCATCCCAGCAAGATGTACGGTAAGAAACAAGAGCATGGTATGGATACAGAGGCAGATATTGTACAGATCACTGGATATAACAAAGCATCAAATAGGCGACCCCCTAAATCGATAAGCTCTAGAAGCCTTCAACTATGGAAAAACAGACATAGTACATTGGACATTAAGGCTGAAGATTACAGCCCACGGGTCTAGAAATATCTTAGTCCAAATGGACCCTTGCAGCAGCATTGATGGTGTTGTTTATGCAGCAGCACCCAGTGTAGGTGTATGCAGAGAATGCTTGAAATGAGAACGGCACAGCTGCTGAGCTCTGGTGCTCCTTCCATCCCATCGCTGGTGCTCCTCCCATTGCTGCTGCCCACACGAAAGAGTGGTGGACTGGGATGGACATGCACAACGGGAAGGAGATTAGTGAGCAGATGATGTTGGGTGGAGATGGAGAATGCTGATGGATGACGAGACAGGGAGTCCATCACGAATGCATGAACCAGGATGGCATGTTGCGTGCAATGGTCACGCATTTACGCAGGGGGTTGGGGGGAAAGTCGGGCTACGAACGAGCATGAAGCAGCAGCTCACCGTACTTGGCGGTTGAAGCACCGGTCATGTGGGCAACCCCAGCCAGCGCGTGCACTTGTTCTTCTTCATCACGTATCCCTGCTTGCAGCGACACACAGGCACGCCTTCCTCAACCACACAGGCAGCTTTGCTGGGGCATGCAGGCTTGCATATGGCTGCACAGGGGAAACGGAGACCGAGGGAAATGCATAGTACTGAAACATTTGTCACACGAGTCATAAGACAAAAGCACATGGGAGAGTAAGAGGAGCATGTGAAAGGTGAGGGGAGCGCAGAGCAGTGACCGTGCCGAGGAGAAGTGAAAGTGTGAGAACGGGGTCACAGGTGCAGCGACAGTGACATGGAATTGAAAGATAAAAGTGAGAGACGAATTTGAGATGTGTGTGGAATGCCGCTTGAGCAACTTGAGGCCTCTCTTCTCCCTCACCAGTGCACAGGCCCTTCTTCTCCCTCACCAGTGCACAGGCCCTTCTTCTCCCTCACCAGTGCACAGGCCCTTCTTCTCCCTCACCAGTGCACAGGCCCTTCTTCTCCCTCACCAGTGCACAGGCCCTTCTTCTCCCTCACCAGTGCACAGGCCCTTCTTCTCCCTCACCAGTGCACAGGCCCTTCTTCTCCCTCACCAGTGCACAGGCCCTTCTTCTCCCTCACCAGTGCACAGGCCCTTCTTCTCCCTCACCAGTGCACAGGCCCTTCTTCTCCCTCACCAGTGCACAGGCCCTTCTTCTCCCTCACCAGTGCACAGGCCCTTCTTCTCCCTCACCAGTGCACAGGCCCTTCTTCTCCCTCACCAGTGCACAGGCCCTTCTTCTCCCTCACCAGTGCACAGGCCCTTCTTCTCCCTCACCAGTGCACAGGCCCTTCTTCTCCCTCACCAGTGCACAGGCCCTTCTTCTCCCTCACCAGTGCACAGGCCCTTCTTCTCCCTCACCAGTGCACAGGCCCTTCTTCTCCCTCACCAGTGCACAGGCCCTTCTTCTCCCTCACCAGTGCACAGGCCCTTCTTCTCCCTCACCAGTGCACAGGCCCTTCTTCTCCCTCACCAGTGCACAGGCCCTTCTTCTTGGTGTAGCCCTCGTTGCACTCGCAGGCACCAGTGTCCGTTCTGCAGAATGCGTTCTTAGAACACTGCACCCCCTCACACGGGTCATACGCTGGCATGCGGCCACACAGGGAGCGAGAGGAGGGAGCGAGGAGAGTGGGGATAGTGAGGGGAGGGAGGGGAAGAGGGGGGAAAGGGAGGTAGTGGAAGGCGTCAGAGTGAATGAAGGAGGAGAGGAGGGTAAGCATGAGGTTGGAGGGGACAGATGCCTGTGACACCAGCTGGGGTGACACCAGCTGGGGTGACACCAGCTGGGGTGACACCAGCTGGGGTGACACCAGCTGGGGTGACACCAGCTGGGGTGACACCAGCTGGGGTGACACCAGCTGGGGTGACACCAGCTGGGGTGACACCAGCTGGGGTGACACCAGCTGGGGTGAGAGGAAGCTAAAGTGAAGCGGGAGGAGAGTGAAGCAAACAGGAGGGACGAACAAGGAAAGGAAAAATCAGAGGCACAGCGCTTGCAATAGACCAGCAGAAAACGCAACAGCCTAGGGAACTGAACCGAAGCAAGAGCGTGAGAAGCAAGAGCGTGAGACGCAAGAGCGTGAGACGCAAGAGCGTGAGACGCAAGAGCGTGAGACGCAAGAGCGTGAGACGCAAGAGCGTGAGAAGCAAGAGCGTGAGACGCAAGAGCGTGAGACGCAAGAGCGTGAGACGCAAGAGCGTGAGACGCAAGAGCGTGAGACGCAAGAGCGTGAGACGCAAGAGCGTGAGACGCAAGAGCGTGAGACGCAAGAGCGTGAGACGCAAGAGCGTGAGAAGCAAGAGCGTGAGACGCAAGAGCGTGAGACGCAAGAGCGTGAGACGCAAGAGCGTGAGACGCAAGAGCGTGAGACGCAAGAGCGTGAGAAGCAAGAGCGTGAGACGCAAGAGCGTGAGACGCAAGGGCGTGAGACGCAAGAGCGTGAGACGCAAGAGCGTGAGACGCAAGAGCGTGAGACGCAAGAGGGTGAGACGCAAGAGCGTGAGAAGCAAGAGCGTGAGAAGCAAGAGCGTGAGACGCAAGAGCGTGAGACGCAAGAGCGTGAGACGCAAGAGCGTGAGAAGCAAGAGCATGAGACGCAAGAGCGTGAGACGCAAGGGGCTCACCAACACACTGCTTATCTTTCACTTTGAACCCCTTATCACAGCGGCACGTGGGCAGGCGGGCAGTATGATCGCAGGAGGCGTTGGGCTGACACACGATGGTGGCACACGAGGGTCGGCCGAATGCTGCAGGTAGGAGAGGCGGGAGGGGCAAGGTGCGAGGCCAGCAAGGCTGACTGGCAATATTCTGGAGAGTGGCATAAAATCAGAGGCATGGCGCCTTCCCACACATGCAGCACACGGAACTGGTTAGGAAACATATAGCGGACGCAAGAGGGGGAGAAGCGTCGGGACAGAGGCAAGAAAGAGAAAACAAGAGGAAGAGAATCAAGAACGCGAGAAGCAAGAGGGGGTAAGAAGCAAGAGAGGGTAAGAAGCAAGAGAGGGTAAGAAACAAGAGAGGGTAAGAAGCAAGAGAGGGTAAGAAGCAAGAGAGGGTAAGAAACAAGAGAGGGTAAGAAGCAAGAGAGGGTAAGAAGCAAGAGAGGGTAAGAAGCAAGAGAGGGTAAGAAGCAAGAGAGGGTAAGAAGCAAGAGAGGGTAAGAAGCAAGAGAGGGTAAGAAGCAAGAGAGGGTAAGAAGCAAGAGAGGGTAAGAAGCAAGAGAGGGTAAGAAGCAAGAGAGGGTAAGAAGCAAGAGAGGGTAAGAAGCAAGAGAGGGTAAGAAGCAAGAGAGGGTAAGAAGCAAGAGAGGGTAAGAAGCAAGAGAGGGTAAGAAGCAAGAGAGGGTAAGAAGCAAGAGAGGGTAAGAAGCAAGAGAGGGTAAGAAGCAAGAGAGGGTAAGAAGCAAGAGAGGGTAAGAAGCAAGAGAGGGTAAGAAGCAAGAGAGGGTAAGAAGCAAGAGAGGGTAAGAAGCAAGAGAGGGTAAGAAGCAAGAGAGGATAAGAAGCAAGAGAGGGTGAGAAGCAGGCGGCTGACATGACTAAGGCACTGGCGGTGTATTATGTCAAGCCCCCCTTACAGCGGCATGTGGGAAGGTCGGGAGCATTATCGCAGGAGGCCATGTCGGAACACATGATGGCCCCACACAAGGGCATGGGCTCTGCAGGTGGGAGCGGCGCGAGGAGCACGGCACACGACAAGCAATTTCGAGTGGAAGAATTCAGAGATAGGCATGAATTAGAGGCATGGCGCCTCCCCACACATGCAGCAATGCAACAGATTAGGAAAACGATGGTGAGAAACAAAAGGGTGAGAAGCAAGAGGGTGAGAAGCAGGAGGGTGGGAAGCAGGAGGGTGAGAAGCATGAGACTCACCAAGACACAAATTATTTCGGTATGTGAGCCCTTGAGGGCAGATGCATGTGAGGGCCGTGCGATTGCAGAAGGAGCCGGGCGGACACATGATGCCTCCACCACAGTAGGGATCAAACACTGCAGGCAGGAGAGGGGCGAGGAGCAACGCGCACGGCAAACGTCTAGAGATTGGCATAAATCAGAGGCATCCAGTCGCACCCACAGCAGCAAACGCAGCAGGGAACAAAAGCGAGAAGCAAGAGGGTGAGAGGCAAGAGGGTGAGGGGCAAGAGGGTGAGGGGCAAGAGGGTGAGGAGCAAGAGGGTGAGGGACAAGAGGGTGAGGGGCAAGAGGGTGAGGGGCAAGAGGGTGAGGGGCAAGAGGGTGAGGGGCAAGAGGGTGAGGGGCAAGAGGGTGAGGGGCAAGAGGGTGACCACAGCGGTTTTGTTTCATTTGAAGCTGCCCATTGCAGACGCATGTGGGAGAGCCGCCAGAATCCTTGCAGGTGGCGTCCATAGGACACTGGGTGGTCGCACACGTGGGCTTGGGCACTGCAGATAGGCGAGGTGGGCGGAGCACAGTGGAACGCATAATATTAGAGACTGGCATCAACCAGAAGCATGGCGCCTCCCCCCAACACAGAAAAAGCAGCAACTTACAAAAAGATGGCGCGAAGCAAGAGGGAGAGGAGCAAGTGGGAGAGAACCATAAGCGAGAGAAGCGAGCGGGAGACAGACAAGGGGGTGGGAAGCACGAGAGCACGAAGCAAGTGGGTGGTAGGCAAGAGGGCGGGACTCACCAACGCACTGTGCCCCATCGAGCACAAGCCCCGGCGCACAGACGCATTTGGCAGGGACGGTAGACTCGTCGCAGACGAAGCTGGCCGGGCACTTGACGGACGCACACGTTGGGGCCGCTGCAGGTTGGCGAGGTGGGAGGAGCACGGCGGCAAGCAAGCAGGTTGAGCGGAGAATGACATCGATCAGAAGCATGGTGTCCCCCCCCTCTCTCCAACTTCCCCCCCCCCCCACACCCCCAATATGCAGCAGACGCAACAGCTTACAAAAAAAATTGCAAGAAGCAGGAGACAAACAAGGGGGTGTGAAGCAAGAGAGTGCGAAACAAGGGGGTGTGAAGCAAGAGAGTGCGAAACAAGGGGGTGTGAAGCAAGAGAGTGCGAAACAAGGGGGTGTGAAGCAAGAGAGTGCGAAACAAGGGGGTGTGAAGCAAGAGAGTGCGAAACAAGGGGGTGTGAAGCAAGAGAGTGCGAAACAAGGGGGTGTGAAGCAAGAGAGTGCGAAACAAGGGGGTGTGAAGCAAGAGAGTGCGAAACAAGGGGGTGTGAAGCAAGAGAGTGCGAAACAAGGGGGTGTGAAGTAAGAAAAGTGCGAAACAAGTGGTTGCGAAGCAAGAGAGTGCGAAACAAGTGGGAGATGAGAAAGAGGATGATACGCAAGTGGGTGGAAGAAAGAGGGAGAGATGCAAGAGACTCACCAACGCACTGTGTCCCATTCAGTACAAGCCCCTTATTACAGACGCATGTGGGAGAGCCGCTAGTATCATTGCAGGTGGAGTCGGCCTGACACTTGTAGGTGTCACACGGTCGGGGCGCTGCAGGTAGGAGAGGAGGGAGGAGCAGGGCAGGAAGCAAGAAGGTTGAGTTGAGCGGCACAACTGTGGAGACTGCCATCCATCAGATCAGATGCATGCCGCATGCCCCCCCCCTCCCAACATGTGCAGCAACGCGCAACCGCTTAGGACAACAATGGTGAGAAGCAAGACGGCGAAATGCAAGAGGGTGACAAGCAAGAGACTGACCAGCGCACTGCTTGTCTTTCATCACAAGCCCCTCGTTACAGACGCATGTGGGCGGGAGGGCAGTATCATTGCAGGTGGAGCTGGCCGGGCACTGGAAGATCGAACACGGTGCGGGCGCTGCAGGTAGGAGCAGTGGGCGGGCAAGGCAAGCAAGGCTAAGCGGCGATGTTCTAGAGATTGGCATAAATGAGAGGCATAGCGCCTCTTCCACACATGCAGCATACGCAACAGCTAAGGGGCAAATCAAGAGAAGCACGATGGTGAGAGAAGAGGGTGAGAAGCAAAAGAGCGAGAAGTGAGACGGTGAGAAGCAAGAGGCTCACCAACGCATGTGGGAGGAAGGGCGGCATCATTGCAGGAGTGTTTGGGCGGACACACGAGGGCCGCACAGGATTGGGGTACTGCAGGTAGCAGAGGCGCGAGGGGCAAGGCGCAAGGCAAGCACGGTTGAGCGGCATGATGTTGGGACGTGGCCTGGCACACTATAGCGGCACGCGGCCTCCCATGCAGCACACGCTGCAGCTTAGGGAAACATGGTGAGCAGCAAAACGGAGAGAATCAAGAGGGTGACGCAGGAGGACGAGGGACAAGAGGGAGAGCATCAAGAGGGTGGGAATGAAGGGGGTGTGAGCAATCACCAACCAGGTAAGTAGAGCAATCACCAACCAGGTAAGTAGAGCAATCACCAACCAGGTAAGTAGAGCAATCACCAACCAGGTAAGTAGAGCAATCACCAACCAGGTAAGTAGAGCAATCACCAACCAGGTAAGTAGAGCAATCACCAACCAGGTAAGTAGAGCAATCACCAACCAGGTAAGTAGAGCAATCACCAACCAGGTAAGTAGAGCAATCACCAACCAGGTAAGTAGAGCAATCACCAACCAGGTAAGTAGAGCAATCACCAACCAGGTAAGTAGAGCAATCACCAACCAGGTAAGTAGAGCAATCACCAACCAGGTAAGTAGAGCAATCACCAACCAGGTAAGTAGAGCAATCACCAACCAGGTAAGTAGAGCAATCACCAACCAGGTAAGTAGAGCAATCACCAACCAGGTAAGTAGAGCAATCACCAACCAGGTAAGTAGAGCAATCACCAACCAGGTAAGTAGAGCAATCACCAACCAGGTAAGTAGAGCAATCACCAACCAGGTAAGTAGAGCAATCACCAGGTAAGTAGAGCAATCACCAACCAGGTAAGTAGAGCAATCACCAACCAGGTAAGTAGAGCAATCACCAACCAGGTAAGTAGAGCAATCACCAACCAGGTAAGTAGAGCAATCACCAACCAGGTAAGTAGAGCAATCACCAACCAGGTAAGTAGAGCAATCACCAACCAGGTAAGTAGAGCAATCACCAACCAGGTAAGTAGAGCAATCACCAACCAGGTAAGTAGAGCAATCACCAACCAGGTAAGTAGAGCAATCACCAACCAGGTAAGTAGAGCAATCACCAACCAGGTAAGTAGAGCAATCACCAACCAGGTAAGTAGAGCAATCACCAACCAGGTAAGTAGAGCAATCACCAACCAGGTAAGTAGAGCAATCACCAACCAGGTAAGTAGAGCAATCACCAACCAGGTAAGTAGAGCAATCACCAACCAGGTAAGTAGAGCAATCACCAACCAGGTAAGTAGAGCAATCACCAACCAGGTAAGTAGAGCAATCACCAACCAGGTAAGTAGAGCAATCACCAACCAGGTAAGTAGAGCAATCACCAGGTAAGTAGAGCAATCACCAGGTAAGTAGAGCAATCACCAGGTAAGTAGAGCAATCACCAGGTAAGTAGAGCAATCACCAGGTAAGTAGAGCAATCACCAGGTAAGTAGAGCAAATATTCCACACTGCAGCAACCTGGTATTGGCCTGAGCTGGCGATGCAGCACTCACGGGTGCACTGCTGGGTGGCGGCGTCGTAGAGCTGGTTGTCGGGGCACACGCACTGGGAGCGCCCGCCCCTCACCACGCACACAGCGGGCAGGCGCGCAGCTCATATCCGGCGTGCAGGCTTTGGTTGGAGGCAGGGCGGAGAGGGCGGGTGGACGTGGGGGGGAGCGTGGCACGTGTTGTGGGGTCTGGCATATGTGCGATACAGTGGCGTGGCGTGGCGTGTGACTTGATGCATGGTGCTGTGTTGGGCTGGGCGGGCACAATGGCAGCGACGAGGCGATGCCACGGCCGAGCATCGGCCGGCTCCGCCGCAACAGGCACACCTGCCCACGCCTGATGAATTCCCACTCCGCCACGGTGCGTATGGCATGGTGCGTATGGCATGGTGCGTCTGGCATGGTGCGTCTGGCATGGTGCGTATGGCATGGTGCGTCTGGCATGGTGCGTCTGGCATGGTGCGTCTGGCATGGTGCGTCTGGCATGGTGCGTCTGGCATGGTGCGTATGGCATGGTGCGTCTGGCATGGTGCGTATGGCATGGTGCGTATGGCATGGTGCGTCTGGCATGGCATGCAGCTCACCCATGTCGCAGCTGACTGATGCAGGCAGCTGGTTGTACTCGAGGTTCCTGGCAGCGGAGAGAGGGAGAGCGCGCAGGGAGGGCGACAGGTGAGCGCCGAGTCAACGACTGGGAGTAGAACGGCACAGAGAACGAGCGGCAGCGCGTATTGGTGGAGCGGGTTGAGGCGTGGTGGGAGTCACCATGCGGAGGTGCTGGGTAGGCCCGGCGGGGAGGGCGGGCGGATGAAGGTGCGGTAGGGCGTGCCCTGGCAGGCGTCGCTGGCGTAGAGGGCGACGGCGCGGCACATGGGCGGCGTTGACGCTGACTCGCCGTACTGGTTGGTCCACGACACGCCCATGGTGGTCGCATCCCACATGCTCGTCACGCGACTGCCGCATAGAGCGCGGTCGAACAGGGTGGTTTCGATGTCCTGCTGGCCGTACTTCCACTTGATGAACGTTATGGACTTCGTGCCGCCAGCTGCGCCGCTCGCACAGCACAACAGCACGACGACGAGCGCGAGCGCGGCGGCGAGGCGAAGGGCGGATGGCCCGCCGTGATGATGGCGGCCGTGCATGGCGGCGACGAGCGGGCTACGGCGATTGAAACGCAGCAACGTTCAACGGCGACCCTCGCTCGCGCCACGCGATAGGGACGTCCGCGCTGGCGGTAAAAAGCCGCGGCGGATGCACGTGGCGAGAAGCGAGTCAGCACGGCGCGGCAGGCGGCACCGGGTAAAGGCGGCGGCTAGATGATTCCCGTTACGGGACTTCGAGGAAGGGCGGAAGGAAGGAACCTATGAGGTAAGCGCGTGGCGAGGGATAGCATAGATACGTTTGAGCTATGCGTCGATTGTCGCGGCAGGGGGGCAAGGGATTGAGAGCGAGAATGCGAATGAGACGCCATGTGAGGGGACGCTGCGACGGTGACTGAAGGAACGCGTTTGGGAGGAAAGCGAAAGGAGGGGCGTTGGCGAGGCTCAAGTGTGCATCGCAGGCGGCCTCAGCACGAATGACTCGATGCTTGCGATTGAAAGGAGGGGCCGCAGTCGCTGGAGTGGGCTCATTTACAGGCCGCAATCGACGGATGAATTAGTTAGGCAAACCAGATTGACGGGGTTCGCGTTCGATGGAATCTTACAGGATTGATGAGAAGATCAAAGGTCGAGATGTGGGGGCAACACGATGATGAGCAATTCAAAGGTTGAGATGTGGGGATTGTTGTCTGTGACGCGTCCCTCTTCACTTCCGTTACTTCGCGCAGATTGTTTCGCTCATTCGCCAACTGTTACGGGTGCGCTTGCACGAGCGAGGGAAGATTGCACTTAGTCAAGCAAGAGACGACTACAAATGTCAGGGAACATGTGAGCGAGCAGAAAGTAGGTTGTAAGTTTTAAATTTTATTAAAGCCCAGCCCCCGAATTACCGAAACGCCTTCACAAACTGGGCCCAGTTTGTGTCTCGCCCCTTCTGGTTTCGGGGAAGAGAGGTTTAGGAGAGGTTTTCGAACCTCAACACTCTGCTTTCCCAAACCTATTTTCCCGCGTTGACTTCCGTTGAGTAATTCGGGTGTTGCCCTTTAAGGGAAAATATGTCACAAATAACCATCATGGGACTCGATAACGTGAATGGTAAAAGAGTAACGCGTACGGTCACTCTATCGGGTTTGCTGACGGGTCTGGTAAGTGGGGTCACGGATTTTGTAAGGAAAATTCATTTTCCTTACTTCGCGTCCCTGCTGAGCGCGTACACAACTGTAGCACCACAGTCAGCACCGTTACCACTCGCAACCTTCTCATCGACAATCCTCCAGCCACCTTCGCACGTCGCACCCCGACCTCACGGCTCGGCAGGTAACCCGCGCTCCGGGCCTCCGCTTCGGCATTTTCCCCAACCTCAGTCCTGTTGGGCTGAAGTGCCCTTAGGATCTTTGTAGAGTTTAAGTCTGAGTAGAGTTGTAATAGCGGAAGCGTTGAGTAAAGAGTGTTTGAACCACCTTGCGCTGGTATGTGAGGGCAAAGTAAGTTAATAAAAACAAGCAAATACAAGGCTTTATATAAGAGTACAAGGCATACGAATAGATATAACTAAACTGTTTTGCTATTGCGATTCGATACAGTGCGACTCGGGCAACTGCTCAATGTCGAGTCAGTTGTGTGTCCTTGCTGTCGCGCTGTTTTTGTCAAGTCAAAGGTCGCTGACCTTTGACCTTCGTGTAACCTCCGGGCGGTTACCTCAACCTCCGAGGGTTGACTCGCGATGCTTCGATTCGAAGTGCTTCGCTTGCGTCCTGAGTTTCGACACGACAGAGGCGCTTTAAGGCTTATTATTCCCAACACTCCCCTTCGCTTCTGGAGTGTCGCTGATGGTGACGTGGCCTTGTCCAGTCAGCAGCATGCAATACTCGAACTTATGTTTTCCGAGCTTCTTGGTCAAGTAGTCGGCTGCCATCTCGGACGTGGGACAATAGGATAATTCGAGTTTCCCTTTCTCGATCTCGTCCTTCACGAAGAAATACCGCAGAGCGATATGCTTCGTTCTGTTCGCGAATCCGCTTTTGTTGGCGATGCGAATTGTAGATTGGTTGTCGCAGAACAGGGTGAAGTTGGGTAACTCAGCTAACTTTGCTTCTTCGAGCAGCTCGCGAAGGTAGAGTCCTTCCTTGGTGGCTGAGCAGAGGGCGATATATTCTGCTTCAGCTGAGGAGAGAGCGATTAGTTCCTGCCTTACTCGACTGCCAGGAGATAGGTCCGATAGGCTCGAGACGATAGGCGTAGCCAGTGCGAGAGCGCCTGTTATCTGAATCGCCGGCATGATCGGCATCGACGTAGCCGATTAGTTTCGTCGTCATAGCTTCGCTCTTGTAGTAAGTCAGCCCGATCGTCGGTGTGCTCATGAAGTAGTGTAGTGCGCGATCGAGCTCCGCCAGGTGCTCTGCTTCAGGTTTCTTGAGATAGGTAGCGAGTTGGCTTGCGGAGTAGGATAGATCCGGGCGACAGGTGACGGCAGCGAAGAGGAGGCAGCCCAACTTCCTCTGGTAGTCACGTATTCCGGCAGCTTTGAGTGGAGCGGAATTTCCTTTGTCACTTCCTGTCGTGTAGCGGTATGGCGTGGCGATGGCGGTAGGTGTGTGTGAGAAACGCTTGGCGATGGTGTCGGCGTATTTCTCGGCGCTTAGGTAGATCGCATTTTCTTCTTCGCGGATGTTAAGCCCGAGGTACTCGGTGACGGTGGAAGAAACCGTGAGCGTGAGGTCCTTCTACAGCTCCCCTTCGAACCAGGTGGTGACGTCGTCGGTGGAGCCGATGTAGAGTAGGTCGTCGACGTAGACGATCAGCAGGATGTAGTCTGCGCCTTAGGTGAGTCGATACATTCCTTGGTCGTGAGGCAGTTGGCGGAATCCGATGCGAGTGAGACGGGTGTGTAGGTGTTGTTGCCACATCCGCGGGGCTTGTTTGATTCCGTAGAGCGATTTCAATAGCTGGCAAACCTGATTGGGATTTCCGTGAGTGCCGTGTGGGAGTTCGACGAAAATTTCGGCGTCGACGGGTGCGTAGAGGAATGCATTGGCGACATCAATTTGTCGCAGCTTCTTCTTCTTCATGGCGGCAACGGCGAGGAGGATCCGGAGAGAGGTATGTCGACTGACTGGGGCGAATGTCTCGGTGAAGTCTCGTCCTTGTTCCTGATCGAAACCACGCACGACCAATCGTGCTTTGAATTTCTCGATTGTGTCGTCTGCTTTCGTTTTGATGCGGAAGACCTATTTCCCGGTGAGGATAGTCTTGTTCCTTGCCACGCTTGCGGGAACGACCTTCCAGGTGTTGCGTTCCTCCAATGCCTTCAATTCTCTGTCCATGGCTTCACGCCATTTTTCCCTGTGTTCCCCCCCCAGAGCCTGCTGAACCGTCGCATGCTCTTTAGGAAGAGTATTGCCGTGGACTGCGGTGACGAGGCCAAGGATTTGCAGTCCAGCCTGTGAGTATCGGGGGAGTGTTGTGTCCTCGGGATAAGCTGCTTCGTCTCCTGCTTCTGGATCGGGTATGAAATTTGGCCCTATCCTTTCTGCTTCATTTGTGTTGACTATCGCAGGTGTTACGTAACCGTTGTCGGCGAAGTGATAGAAGACTTCGGCGTTGACACTGTCGCAAGGATTTTCTTCGTCCATGGGCACGTCGACGGAGCAGTACGGGAGAGGTCCGGCTTCTTCCGATGCGTTGTCGACGTTCTGTTCATCCCAGTCTGCTTCGTCCGCTGCTGAGGCGAAGGCTCGGTCACCACGAAAGCCACCTGTGAGGTCCCGATTCTCGTGCAAGTTGGCGAGGTACGTCTGAAGGGTGAGTCGCTCGTAGAAAATCACATCACGTGCTGCTACTGTTTCCATTGTGTGGACGTCGAAGATTTTCCACGCGTTGTATTTTTTCTCGATGCCGAGGTGTAGTCCCCACTATGCCCGCTGTGAAAATCTTCCCGCTCGTGCTTCTGGGGGTCGGTACTGTACCATACATCCGAAAACTCGTAACATTCTTGTGCTGCCCAGCTTCCCTGTCCACAGCAGATGCGGTGATGCGTTGTTCGAGAGTGACGACGACGACAACAAGTTGTGCAGCATGACAGCATGGTCCATTGCTGCAGGCCACTGGTGGTTGGGTAGCCGCATGCCACGTAGCAGTTTGCGCATGCTGTTCTGCAGAGTCCTGTTCATTCTTTCTGCAACACCTTGCTGCTGATGGGCGTAGGGAAGGGAGAGGAGTTGCTTGATTCCCCTTTCCGCCAGGTACTGCTTGAAGCGCTGAGAGGTGTACTCTCCTCCTCCGTCTGACTGGAAGCTTTTCAGTTGTGTTCCTGATTCCCTCTCTGCTACCGGTAGCCAGGCGGCGAACGCTGCGAGAGCCATGTCGCGGCTGGGTAGGTTTCGATGCCAGACGTATCGAGTGGCGGCGTCGATGAAGGTTATCGTGTAATTGTAGGTGACTTGTCCTGGTTCTCGATTGAAGAGGATGTCGCTGTATACTTTCTTGAGTGGTGCGCATGCAGGTGCGCTCGGATTGTGGTGAGAAGAAAACGGTCGATGGGGTAAGTGGGCTTCGGGACAAATGAGGCAAGTTCCTCGTGCCCGTTGAAGTTCTCTGCCGTCAAGTAGTAGTAGCGAATCCTTGTCTAGAACTCCTGCTCGGATCGTGTTGTTTAACACTGTGTTGCTCGGATGTCCTATGCGTGCGTGCCAGATGTCTTCAGGAGTGCGATGTCCGGGTGAACGTTGATACGCGTCGGAGTTGGAGTAGAAGCTGGCGACGAAATTGGCGCTTCTGTGAACTTCTCGTTGAGTCGGGTTCAGCTGCTATGCGGGTGTTGGTGGTGCTTCGTCGATGAAGACTGGTGTCGTTGGTTCTGCTGCTGCCGATAATGTTTCTGCTGCTGCCGATGTTGTTTCTGCTGCTGTAGTTGATGTTTCTGCTGCTGTCGATGTTGTCTCTGCTGCTGCCGATGTTGTCTCTGCTGCTGCCGTTTGTTGAATTGTTGCTAATGCTCGTGTTCGTTCTGCTTCAGGGATGGTGTGCGAGTACCAGAAACCTCC